ACTGTGCTCTGTTGCGTGCTCTCTTGTAGATCGACCACGCATCGGCAGTCCGGTGCGCCCTAAAACGGGCCCAACATCTCCTCCGGACTACTAGTCCCCGATCTAGCTGTGACTTGCCTGTTGCTCCTAGGTTTGAATGGTGCATACCCATCGGTCAGTCTAAGCAGCTCTACCTGAGTGACAGACCATCGCTCTTCCAACGTTGGCCCGGGAGATAGTGGCACCCAATCTACGTGTTCTGCGGCCTCTTGTAGGGCAGCAACGTTTATACGTCTATAGCACCGTTTAGGTGGGGCAGCCGGTTTGCTGTGTTTCATGGGTAATGCTAATCTCAGTACCCCAGGGTCACTCTTACACAGTGGATTCTCCACTGCTTCCTCACTTATTTCCGATAAATATCGCGTTATAACTAAGTCCAGGACGGAGGCCCTCTGTTGGTTGCGAAACCTCGTGGTCTGCATGATATGCTGAATGAGCGCACGCTCATGTAGCCATGTTAGAAAGCTTTCTCCCTTTGTCCTAACGGGAGCCTCTGCTTCTACCCAACAGATCTCCGGAAGATTTAAATCTCCCAGAATTAAAATCCTTTGGGTCTTCGATATGAATTCCTGCATTGTAGCAAGTAGTTCCATATCTTCTTTGGGTTCCGCCTGGGGTGCGCGATAGACTAGTAGCACTCCCAACGGTCGTCTTCCCAAGAGGATACTACACGCCTTGGCTTGAATATTAGGTGTTGCCAGTTTTACTGGCGAGTCTCGTTGAGTGAAAGCGGCTTTGACCAGCAGGAGTACTCCTTCGCCTTGTCTGCCGTCCATTCTATCTTGCCTACAAGCCGAGTAGTCTCTGGGCTTCTCTACATCTTGCTCATATCGCATCCAAGTTTCAATGATAGCTATTATCACCGAGGTTTGGGTGCGCGTCGCCAACTCTCCCCATTTTACACTAACACTGCAGGCGTCAGTGTACCACACTGTGACGGTGTCCACCTCCGCCTTCATACAACTATTCTCTATTACTTGGAATGGATCCTCGGACGTAAGGCCCGAGGAGCTATTATGTTTTTTGATACCATATTTGCGGGTCCCGGGCGACCAGGCTTCGAACGACAAAGCTACACCCCCCACAGACTTCGTTATGTCTTTGAGGGTAAACCCAAAATCCTCACCGAGTCTTTTCCTGGGCGCTCGCTGCCTTCTAAGCATGGATAGTGTCCTACTCAGAGGGGAAGTGTCCAGAATATTCCTTGCTACCACTTTGGCCCAACTAACGGACGCTGATTTCGCCTTGCTATCAGCGACCGTGGACTCACCCATCTTTTTAACTCCATCAGCCTTGAATGGCTCTGACGGAGTGAACTTTAGTGGGCCGTCTGCTCTGCTGTTATCTGTTTTCTTCCTGAGGACTCCAGCTGGGGATTGCCTCGGCTTTTCTCCCTCCTGTTATCGCTTTTTGACCCATCTGGATTCGGTTTTATGGATGTGGACTTGCTCAACGGTGACCCAACTGATAGACTTTGATGGACCACCCTGCGTTGGCATGCCTCACCCACTCCTACTCCATGCTCCATATGGGGGTTTAGTTTGCTCAGAAAAACTGTGGGCTTCCTCTGTTACATTATTCCTATTGCAGGAACAGTGGGGATGACGCCCCGCTGGGCGTGATGAACTGTATCAGGGGTAACTTTGATGCACCCCCTGGTGTTCATCTCCACTGCAACAGCCCTAGAGAGCAGAAAGTCCCGGCTATATGTGATTCAAAGTTCTACTAGTATAGGCCTGGGTCTGTTTGTCTTGTTCTGCCTCCACAACCCAACCCTGTGGCCCCTAACGTAGTGCGTATTGGCCGGTATACCCGCCAGTCAAAAAACATCTGGAACGTGTCTGTGATCCGCCACTCGTCGCCCTTTAGTATCGCGAATCAATGGCTCCAAAAGACGTTTCTCGTTCGACCAAGTAGCGCTTGGGTGCTGCGTTGCAGTTTCTGGAAATCTTTCTCCAACCGTTCTATACGTGCAATCACTTCTATCGACTTCAACGGTTTAACCATAGCCCCTTTGAGTGGTTTCTTTCTCTTTGTGCTCGTGATTTTCTCATTTCCATTGTTTTCCTTCATAGTATGTTTACCGCTAGGATTCACCCCCTCCATCTGCTTCGTTGCTGGCTTCGGCGCGCGAGTATTGGAGGCTTGTGGTGAACTGGTGGTCACAGCCCTTAACAAGTCTCCTTTCAGAATGCGTGAGCATTTCTCTATCAGAGCCTTGCAGTGTGCGCATATCCACTTCAATTCTCCATGTTGAAGGTGCAGCGCATAGCACTGCTTCGACATCTTGGAGCATTTTTCGTGATACCACGAGCCACATCTATTACACTGGATACCATTACAACCCCTGGCTTCACACGTGTCAGGGTGCTGTACCATGGTTGCTTTAGTAACAATGAATACAGATCACGTACCGTACGAGAAAAACAATATACAGAAAAAGCACCGCAAATTGCAAAACCCCCTGTGTTAAGGCGGCTGAAACACCGTAAAGGATGATGAAAACAACATTTTGACGATGGATAGATTCTTGTGAGTGGTATTCTCTCTTCTCTCTCTTTAATCTGATCTTTGTTTATCTGTACCATTAATTATTATTTCTGTGAAACATAACAGTTTCCATTTTCGTTTGATACCGCTCGGTTGAGCAATAGCACTTGTTCGTTTACCGTTGTACGGCCCGCCTATTGAGGATCACGGTCAAGTATGTATATGAAATTTATTGTATCATTGTATAATTCAGATACCGCATTACACTTGATTCTGCTATTGATCGGTGTTCCCTGTGTTCTTATATTGTTGGATGTTTCGGGCAATCGTTGGGTTTGTGATAGAGAAACGTACAATTTGCGGGATCACGAAGCGTTCGATTGAGCGGTACGCGTATAAGACAGTTCCAGCGGGCGGACCTAACAGTATTTGACCTCCCTGTCGGTAATCAATCTGTGGAAAATTCTCCCTTCGGATACGAAACTGGAATTCCTTCTTGTATTGTTCTGTCGTTGTTGCACTTACAAACTGTGCATTGGTGTTTTGTGACTTTGTAACTCCTTTCTTGTTTTTTGTGCTGACTTTCTTATTCTGACTCTTTGTTCCTCGCTTCGCCCCGAGCAATAGACTATGAAAAGATGTCGGAAGGTCTAGGTTGTGAGGATGCTGCTGCTATACTCTCGTCCGGTAAGTCATCTCCGGCTACCTTGCTTACATGCGGTAATGTTGATGTCCGATCTAATTATGTTGCATTGGAGTTGGAAAGTGCTCAACTAGAAGTGGAAGCTGCTGAGGCTATGAAAAGAGCTGCAAATGCCAAACGGCGTGCCGCGGCGGCTTTGCGAGCAGATAGGTTGGCTCGTGTTGCAGAGGAAGTGGACGATGTGCCCGTCGATGATGAAATCAGGGTAAAACTTCCCTTCGTAGAAGAAAAGGTTACATCACCGACGCTGGTGTATCCTTGTGATTGCGATCCGGATGCATTCTACACGAGGCCTAGTTCGGATATGGTAGGTTACAACATTGATAAGTTACTGACTCGTTTGGAGTTGCCTAAATGTGACTTGCTTTGCTTTGACGGATCACCTAGTCAGTATAACAGTTTCTTCCGTCAGTTTGATGAACAGGTGGAGAATAGAGGTAAAGATGATGGACAACGACTTACCTATCTTTACCATTATTGTCGTGGTAAGGCAAAGGATGCCATACAAAGTTGTTTGGTGTATCCTGCGTCAGAAGGATACAAAAAGGCGCGGGCTATGTTGAAGAAGTTGTTTGGCTGTCACCATATGATAGTTCAATCTATTTTACAAGAAATAACTGCACCAGGTCATCTTCAGACCGACGCGGAGAGCTTATTTGTTTACGTAAATAAGTTACAGAGTTGTGCTGATGCTATGGAGAAATTAGGATTTTTGGCTGACTTGAATTCAAGCAGTACGCTAGATAAGATTTTGAGTAAACTCCAAGATACATGGCCGTAGACTGGGTTAAGAAAGCCGATGAAATTTATCAGTCTGACAGAGAACCAGAGTTTCGGGATTCATGTGGGTTCATTTGTACCCAGGCTCGGTTACTTCGCAACAGGCACATTTATTTGTTAGGCGAGAGAAAATCTCCGGCAGACCCTAAACCCAAGGAGGGATATTCCCGTTGAAAAGCGTTTGCGGTAGTGATCCAAGGGTCACGCTGCCCATGCTGCAGTGGTGTGCACTCCTTAGAACAGTGTACACGCTTTCAGAACTTGAGCGTGAAAGAAAGGCGGGAATTGGTATCTACCAAAAAATTATGCTTTGTCTGTTTGAATCCTAAAAATCGAGCTTCAGTTTGCTCTCTTAAGATCCGTTGTCCAGAGACGAATTGTGATAAACCGCATCATAGGCTTCTGCACTCAAACCCGGATAAAACGCACGTCACAAATGCTTCTTGTCAGAGACTACCTGCTGCTGGGGGTGTGAGCCTAGGAGTGATACCAGTTTTGGTGGAACAACCAAAGGGTTCAGTGATCGCCAATGCATTGTTAGACAGCGGAGCTGACACCTCTCTCGTTCGAGAAGATCTGTTGCCATTGACTTCAGGGAACTACAGCCAAGATAGGTCTGGATACTCCGATTGGCGAAGAACATCGTTGGTGCATGCATGCCTCTTTACGGAAAGGAATGTGTGGACGTCGCCAAAGCCTACACAGTGCCTTCTATACTTAATGTAGAAGCTATTAAACCTACTCAAGAAACGTTGTCCAATTGGTCTCATCTGAACGACGTGGCATTACCTCCGTTACCCAGTAAAACTCTGAGCATTCTTATTGGTTTGGACACTCCCGAGGC